CAGCTAGGACTACAGGCATGAGCCACCAACCCCTGACTCCTTAGTTTCTTCTTATAGTGATTTCAGCAGGTTTGAAGTACATCAAGTATAATCGCCTCCTTCACTTCCTTTTCTTTTACTCTCCACCTCCCCTTAGCATGACCTGTTTTTCATTCTTGTCTTTCATTGTTCAGGTGTCTGTCTGTTCATTGTTCAGTGGGATTTTTTGCCTTAGTATTATAGCTGTATATGCATTGTGCTTAAATGAATATAACTCCTCTCCACTGCACTTCCTCATCCTTTTTCCCCTATTCTATGTTGCTTAACAGTTTTCAGTGTGCTTCCTTTCATCTTATTCCTACATAGATGTGATGTATTTCATCATTATTCACTATCTTTCCTTCCTTCCTTTTCTCCTCCCTTTGTCTCTTCTACCAGTCCCATGTTTGGATTCATGCTCTGTATATATTTTTTATGTATGTAAAATATTGCTTATTTTGTATTTGGTCTGTATTCCACATATGGGAGAAAACATGTGGCCTTTGGCTTTCTGAACCTGGCTACCTTCACTTAAGATAATGTTCTCCAATTCCATCCATTTACCTGCAAACAACAAAATTTCATTCTTCTTTATGGCTGAATAAAATTCCATTATACATAAATTTTCTTAATCCATTCATCAGCAGTGGGGCATCTTGGCTGTTTCCATAGCTTGGCTATGTGAATAATGCTCTAATAAACATGGCAGCCTAATATTTAAATTGAAAAGTAATCGTGACAGCTACCTAATACTATTAATTGAGATGGATTTCAGTGCTAAACATTAAAGCTACTACAGTGTCTTAAAAAATGCATGAAAACCTCTTCATAACTTTGAGATAGGCAGAGATTTCTTAGGCAAATCACAAAGGGCAGTAACCCTAAAAGAAAATATTGATGAATTGGTCTTCATAAAATTATAAATTTGTGATCATCAAAAGACACCATTATGAAAATGAAAAGGCACACAAGGAATGTGCGAAAACATTTGCAATACATTTGATAATGGAGTCGTACAGATATAATCTATATTCTGAAAATGTAAAGAATTGGTTACATTCTGTTTAAAGAGTTCTAAAAAGTGTTAGACAATTCCCATTTCCACACCCCCAACATGAACGATAAACTTAAACAGACTTTTTTATGAAGGGGGATATCCATTTTGCCAGTAGGCATATCAAAATATACTTTAACTGCATAACTCAGGAAGGAGTACACATTAAAGCTGTAAAAAGATAACATTATATTGTATCAAAATGACTAGAATTAAAAAGACTTACAATGCTAAGTGTTGGGGAAGATGTGTAGTAACTTTCTTCATTGCTGGTTGGGCTAAAAAATTGTATCATCTCTCTGAAAATCTCCAGATGTTTCTAATAAAATTAAGTATGCAAGTACTCAGTGAGTTAGCTGTGCCACCACTCGGTATTTGTCCAAGGAAAGTGAATATTTGCATTTAATGGCTTTATTCATAATTGGGAATAACCCAATGCAAATCAATAGGAAAGGAATAAGCTAATTGTGTTATATACTTATCCCTGGAAGTTGGGAGGGGGGAGAAGACAAACTAATGATGCCTGTAACAATATGAATGAATCAGAAAAACGTTTAGTAGAGTGAAAGAACTTGGCACAAAAGATGACAAGACTATAGATTTCCTTTTAAAAATGAATTTGCTATGTATATATAAAATATATAACTGGATATTTTAGGTAACATATGGGAAGTAAAAGGATACTATTGTGAAGCAAATTAACACAGCCATCATCTCATATAGTTCCCTGGTTTTTGTGTGTGTGTACATGACAACAAGCAGCCAAGATTCACTTATTTAGGGTGAATCCCATATATTGTATCATTATATTACTTATGACCTCATTTGTGCTTTTGAGCTCTAGACTTGTTGATGATAAAGATGTTGCTTTTTATCCTTTGATCTGCATTTCCCCATTTCTTTCTCAAACCCCTCAATGTGCCCATCCTTGGCACTATTATTTTGTTCTCTCTTTGTATATTTGAATTTCTTTACCTTTATGGGTATGTGTGGGACTAGGGATGAAACTCATGGCCTCAACTCTTGTGATGTGGGTGTTTTACCACTTTGAGCTGTGCACCTAAGTCCTTTTAATTTTGATTTGTTTGTCAGATGGGATCTCACTAACTTTTGCTAGGCTGGCCAAGATGTATAATTCTATCTCTGCCTCCACAGTACCTAGAATTATAGCCGCATGCCACCTTCGAAGTTTTTAGGTTCAGCATGTAGGTAACATCATGAAATATTTTTCTTTTTGTGTCTGATTTATTTCACATAGCATATTTTCTTCCAGGATCATCCATATGGTAGCAAATGGCACCGTCTTACTCTTCTTCAGAGGTGAATAGCAGTCCACTACATTATGTGCTATAGTACTTGTTTGTCCACCAGTGGTCACTTAGGTTATATCTATATTTTGACTACTGTGAAGAATGCTGCATTAAACAAAGGAATGCAGACACTTTCACGATGACTTCATTTCATGGTGACTTCATTCCTTTTGAGTGCATCCACAAAAGAGGGATTGCTACATTTGTAAGATTACTTTTGTATGCAGTTCAAAAACAGGCAAAATGAATCAGTGGGTCTCTAGGTCAGAAAAGTTGTTATATCATTGTGTGGGTGGGTCTACTAATGACATAGGGATATTGGTGACTTTCAGGATGATAGAAATATTCTGTTTTTTCTGGAGGGTAGTTTTATGGGTATCATGCTACACCTAAGATTTGCATATGTCCTGTATGTAATTACACCTCAATAAAATATTTTTAAAGGATTTTTGGTGCTTCTTGAACAATGACTTGGAATCAGAAAGGGAAGACGGTGGGAAAGAGTCAAAACTACGTTTAAACACTGCTGTGTCTATGCTTTGGCTTTTTACATCTACATCCTGGGTATATACACTTTCAGCTCTCTTTTAACTTTGTTGTTCCTTTTAAACCTCTTAATTTTTTTCATGACAAAATAGGGATTATTTTTGTTTTGTTTTGTTTTCTTATTTTTTATTTACAAAGATACACCATCTTATTGTAGGCTCTACTCACATTATCAAATTATAACCTATCTTTTCCAAGGATCTTTTAGCCCCTTCCTGTGCTTCATTTTCTTTAAATGTTAGGAACATTTATTTGTCTAAAATGGAGATTTAGACAGTTTTTAATGAGTGGACACTTATACAGATTCTTTAATTGCATTTAAGAATGCTTTTTAAAATTGGATTATAATTCTTCCTAAGAATGGGTTCAGTTGTGATAATTAACTTCGGGGGGGATTGTGATTTTTGAGGTAGTTTGGATATAAGGATAGTGTAAGACATTGCCGTGGGATTTCTTAAGCATGTGGGAGCCAAAATTCTATTTCATAAGTCTCATTACACAAACATAGAAAAAAATCCATAACTTGGTCCCCAGAATGTAATTCACTAAGCAACCATCCTACTTTAGCACAAAGTTTGCTCTGGGAGTGAAGTAATCTCACCCATATCTATCGGATATTGAGAAAAAGGGAACAAAATAGCTTCCTTGGTCAGTGAAGGAAGATTCAACCTAAAAGCTCAAGTTGCATGGTCAGGCAACAACAGTCTGTGATAAAGGAAGTGTGCCTGGGTAGAGACAAGGAGAGCACTTAGGAGACACACAGCCAGAAAGTTATTTCAGAGCAACTGGTACATGAATGGAAGGGTGACTTTGTATTCTCTTTGAGTAGTTCTCATTTGTCCTACTAAATCAGTTTTTATATGAACTTTGACTTATTCCATAGTGAAATAACTCATTGAATACCAGAGAAAGATAGCATTTGACATACCAAAATGTAAACAAGGAATTTTTACTCAGAAAGCAAAACATGTGGTCATGTTGGAGCTTAAATTTTATTTGTAATGATTAGTGAATATGTGTTGACTATGTGATTCCATATATACTTAAGTATACCTTAAATATTTCATAATTTCAAAACAGAAGTATTCACTGACAAATTTGAAAACCCAAATTTTTAAAACGTGTTCCATTCTGTCTTTCAGAGTAGGTAACAAATAACATATAAATAAATGTATTTCTGGAAAAAAGTGATGTGTAACTTAAACCTGAGACTAAGATTTAATTCACTAAATGAATGCTTTAAAGATGACAGTTAAATATTAATTTTAAAGTTTGTATTTTAAAACTTAAGAGTTTTTAGTCATAAACCTCAATATTTTCTCTCTTTTTTTGTTTTTTTGTTTTTTTTAAGGTGGTACTGGGGTTTGAACTCTGAGCCTCACACTTGCTAGGGAGACACCCTACAACTTAAGCCACTCTGCCAGTCCTCTTTTTTTGTGCTGGGTATTTTCGAGATAGGGCCTCGTGAACTATTTGCCTGGGCTGGCTTCGAGCTGAGATCCTTCTGAACTCAGTCTCTTGAGTAGCTGGGATTACAGGTGTGAGCCACTGACACTCAGCTCAGTATTTGATTATTAAACAAATTTTATCCTTTTAACTACTTTTTAGTAACCTTTTTGTTTTTAATTAATTCTTTTTTTCATGTGATAAATCTTGAAGTAGTAAATACTGATTTGTAGATAATTTAGGGACTGGTGTTTACATTTATTTGCTAAGAATTTTTCTTGGAAGGGACTTTTTAAAAATTTGTTCTCTCTGGAATATTTTTCTCTTTTTACTTAAGATTTGACTATTGTTTATCTGCTGTTGTTTTTTTTTAAAAGGAGATCTTGACTATATAGCTAGGCTAGGTGAATCACAACTTAGTGTTATAGCTACTATGACTGATGGTAATGGAGCAAATGTTTAATATAACTACTGTTAGATGCTTTAACTCCAAGATAGTTTGGATGTAAGTGTATCATGATGGGGAAACCTTAGAGAAATTCCAAATAGAAGAATAAATGATTTTAATTTTCAATGGCATTTCATTTCAGTCTAATTACTTTATGATTTACATTCTTTTATTATAGGGAAAGGTGGCCCAGACAGCATGTATGTCAGCTTGCAAGCATTTAGCCACATCCTTGATGCAACTTTTGCTAGAAGCTGAAGTAAGGCAGCTCACCTTGGGAGCATTACAGCAGTTCAACCTGGATGTCAGAGAATGTGAACGTAAGACAATGAACCATCCTTTTGCTTGTTTATCTTACTTGTGTAGTCTCTAATGTTTAAAAAAAAAAAAAGAGTTTAAGTCTGTGGGTCTTGGTTCCTGATGGTGTCAAAGAAGATGTGGATGACAAGGATAACTTATAGGACTTTTAGAAATAGAGTCTCTTAGAAAGCCAGTTTGAGTGCCCAGAAGTGCTCAGACCCATATTCAGAACTGAGAGGATACCCAACTGTTAGAAAGTTTGCAATCTAAAAGGGGATGTAAGGCTGACATGCATTTAATAGACACCATAGAACACTTCTTTTGTCTAAAAGTATCAAAAGAATGCAGCTACTTCATTTTCAAATTCTGTTTTAAAGCTAGCTTTAGCTTATCTATAAACTCTTCTTAGTATATAGAACAAATGGTGCTACCATTTATTAGTCAGAAATGCTTTCTCTTATGGGAACAGAAAGCTTTAGCTAGAATGGTTTAAAAGATAAGTTTTACTTTTCTTGGAGGTAATCAGTTGCTGCATTGGTTGGCTGCTCCTTGACATCATTGTATAACTAGCTCATTTGTTTCTTCTCTGCTGTATTTAGAGTGTAGACTTTTCATCTCCATGTATATTATAGTTAGAAGAGACCCACATTCAAGACAGGAAAAAAAAAGGCCGGCCTCACCTTTTCTTTTTATTAAAAAAAAAATAGAAACCTTTTTCAAGAGAATCCAGTGAACTTCCCCATGTGTCTCATTCATCACTACACCTCCACATGGTCTCTTACACCTCCCAGGGAGGTAGGACACTGAGCATCCTGCAAAATAAGAGTATCCTTACTGGCATAGTTGACTCATCATGAATTGTCCATTTTGGGTTAAACACAAAATTGGGCTTTAGCTAGGAAGGAATGAAGAACATGATTATTAAAGCTGAGTTTGAAGTTATCCTTTTCTGAATTGGGGAAGAAGTAGAACATCATTCTATTGCTTTGGGGTAGGCAATTAATCATAAACATTGGTGAGGCAATAAGGTCTTATGGATGATTGGAAGAGACTGCCTACATGAGTGCATTTTTCATAAGCTTGAGGGATGAAAGGCAATAAACAGAAATATATTCACTTGCAAGAGGAATGATGGTCTAGAGATTGAAAAAAAAATGCCCATCTCATGGCCTGATTTTGAAGAATATTTTATTAGAAAGAATGAGCAGCTTCAATTTGTGAGAACTACAGACATCCATGGGGGAAACACCAGTGTTCAGCTAAGACTAAGAAACAGAGAGACAATTTAATGAAGAGGTGAAAGCAGAACAGTATGGTGGAAACATTTAACCATGTAAATGGGATTCCAGAGAGCCAGTACTTTATCTGGAAGACCATTCAGTATTTTGAATTACCTTCAGACTTATATCAACTTGAAGCTAATAGTTGAAGGACACAATAGTACCACTAATAACTAAAATGTCAACACTGAGAATTCTTTTCTATATATTTTGGAGCCACTCAGATTCATTGATTTAGAATTTAATGTTTCATTTCTAATTGGCAGTAATTTGTCTGTCAAAAAACTTTCCATGGACATTTATTTTACTTCAAAAGAAAGAATTCTATTCTATGCCTTTTCCTATACCACCCCCTTCACTTTTTTTTTCTTTTGATGCTCAGTGGTCTATAAAAATCTTAAAGAAATGATACATAAAATTCAAGTAGCTATACAGAGGCGTATAAAAGCAGCTCCAAATGACAAGATAATTAACACTTACATCTTTCTACCCAGTGGTGTGTATGTGACATATTTTTTCCTTTTTTGTCTGTGAGTCCTTGAAGAACTGTATGGGTCCTGAAAGAAATCAAATTTTGGACAAGACAGAACATGAAAGTACCTTGAGTGCTTGACTCTGAGGCTAAGGGTGCCATTTACTTAGATACCAAATACACAGAAGGTTTTATGTGCCATGAGCCTGAGATATTGTTTAGAACAGTCATTGAGAACACTGATTTTAGAGTCAGCTTGACAGAATGAATTTAAGTCATCACTTACTTTTGGAGTGACCAATAGTAAATTATTTAGCCCCTTTGAGCCCCATTTATAAAATTGTAAAGGCTGTGGTTCCTAAAATTATAGGTAAAGGGTTAGGATTAAATAAGAAAAAGCATGAAAGTGTTTATTTCATTAGCTGGTTAAATATCCAATAATTAGTAGCTAGTCCTGGTATCGTTACCATCATCACAGCAGCAGTAGCAGTTAGCAGATATCCAGCAACTCTCAGAAAGTTTTTGTAGATCACTCGAACCTTTGTCTATAGTTTGTAAATCAGAGAAGTTTGAAGATGCTCTTTAGTTTGGTATAAGCGTTTAACTTTTGCTTCTTAGTAGTTTTCTGTGAAACTTCCGTAGTTGTCCTGAAAGGTATAATCCAATACTGATGATTTCCTAATTCTCAGCTTGATGCTTTTGTAAGAAATTAGTCAGCTCAACTGTTCTCTAAGGATGGAACTACTGCCAAGGATATCATTATCTAACAGAAGCACTGTTGTTAGGTAATTCTTACTGACAGGCTACCAAACCAAGTATCTTTAAGGTAGTTATTTAGAAGGTATGAAGAAATTAACCCTTTTCTTTTAAAAATTGACAGAATTCTGAGTTTTTCTGCTTCATGTGAATTTCATGTTGTAACTCCATATGTTTATATCTTATATTTGATTCTGGTTATTGGAACACTGGATCCTGGTAGACAAACTGGTGTTTGATCACCAGCAGGTCTTGATTGTGTAATATTTACCTCTTTGTTCTAACTTGGGCTGTTACATCTTTAATGAACTATGATATTCCACCTGGTCTGTGTTTGGAATTTTCTAAGGTTTCTTTTCTTATATTCAAGATAAGGAGATATAGATTCATATTCCAGCTCAACCACTTGTCATCATCAATTAATTCAGTAACATGGTCATTTATTCGACAAATATATATAGTGTCCTTACTCTGTGCAAACAAAATACCTTGTTGGACACTGAAGATAAATGGGAATATCATGGATTAAGAACGTGACTTGATTTGTGTTTTTCAGAAGGAGCTCTGTAATTACGGAGCCTTAGAGACCAGTTACAAGGCTGTTGTAGTAATCCACAATAGTAATGATTTAAGTATATATCTGCATTAATGACTTTGGTTTATGATTGGAAAAGGGACAACGGTCTTCACATTCTTCCATGTTACCATTTCCACCATAATAACCCTCACTCCACAAGCCAGGAAACCAATGTGGAGATTCTTCCTAATCTCAGGATTTAGGGAAACAATTTCAAAGTAAATTCATGGTATCCGTGAGCCTACTATGATATAAAATAGTGGCAGAATGCCATTTGCCACTTAACCACTCCACCCTACCTGAAAGATCCATTTCCTGTCTGCCTTTGTGAAGAATTTCTTTTATCTCAGTGTCAGCACCCAGGAGCTCCCAAAAACTTTGAGCACTTCCATCTCTTTGTATATCTTCACTAAAATAAGTGACTGCCATTTTCTTTCTGCTACAGCTAGCTCTTCTCTGACTCAGGTGTAATATTCAGTGTATATTAATTAGGCAAACCTTAATAAACTTTATTGTTTTGTCACTGGAGCCTTTGAGCTAAGGATTTTATAAAGAGATCTCACTGAATCCTAGGTACAAGGTCCAAATAGTTGCTTATTGTGGTAAGTATGCCCACTTATTTTTATTTTGTCTACCACACAAATCCAGCTATCCTTGCCTCTCTAGTTCCATATAGTTCATTGTCCACCTTTAGTCACTGTCCACAAGAGTCACTCTTTGGGCTTCAAACATTCTTTTACCAATATCTTCCAATGTGAGGGAGAAGGAAGAGAGGAGAGTTTTCAGGACCCTGATGAGAAAAACAGGAAAAGCAGGTGTGACAAAGGTGTTTCTTTGAAGCTTATATGATACAAGGAAATTTCTTGTCCTTACAGAAGAACTAAGCTAGGGCTAAACCCAAATCTACCTCAGCCAACCAAACAAACTGTGAAAGTAACTGTTAGCTAGTATATTAAATCAAGCTAATCAAGCCTGTCCAGGGAGATGCCCTATAGTAATTAAATTGTCAATCAAAATTATGTTTAATCATCCTTGAATAAGTAGTGCAAAATGCATATCCACCCAGATTTCCCTGTTTTTACAGGGCTCCCTAGAAAACTCTAACCTGTTCTTCTGGATACAATTCCAATCTTCCTTCTTCTTATTTTGCTTATCATCCTGAAGCCCATTTTGTATTTAGATCTTGGTCACAGGACAGAATTTGATAAGGGAGGGAGCAAGACAGAGCAGTTTTCTTCTCTGACAAGGGAACAAAATAGAAGGCATTCTGGGGAAGACCAAGGGTCATGATTACATAATTCTTAGTACCCTTGCATTTATCAAGGAAATACGGTAAGATTATTAAGGCAGCTCAAACTTGAAAGATCAATTAAAATACTTGATTTTTCAGTTCTCTCAGATTAGCCAGCTGCAGCATAAAGGGATTGCAGCATCATTTCTATTTCTGTGTTTTCTTGGATTCTTGAGCTTGACGTTTTAGAAAGAATCAGAATTTGTTTCCATCGTAAATTGTCTCTTGTGGTTAAAAGTGATCACATGACTCATCTTCAGCCTTTTAAAATGTATAAATGGCTGGAGAACCTAGTCTCCCAAACCTTCACCCTCAGTGGGAACATGTTCGCAGGTGACTTAAGATAATACCTTAATTATTAGTGTGGCTGCCACATTCCACAAACTGTTGCTTTTCTGTCCTGGAAAATGAAGGGAAATCTCAGTGCCCTTTTCTCTACCATTACTTGTTAAGCAATTCCAAACTTTGTACTTTCTTTTTTGTTTGATACCTCATTCCTGAATGTTAATGTCTCTTAATTGAAATATGTCTGTTTACAAGTGTCTTTATTCATTGGTGCTTCTTTATTAAAAGACCTGAGTAATTTATAAACAACAGAAATTTATTTCTCACAGTTCTGGTATCTGGAAGTCCAAGATCAAGGT